CTGTAACTGTTTGTTTTAAATTAATGTTACTTTTAATTTTATTTTCATGTTTGGGGATGCAAATCCAAGGTGGCAGTTGAATTACGTGAACAATTGTGAAACATTTCTTACTTTAATGCAATTGGTATGTACTTCCTACAAACAACAATTTCAACAGTCAGTGTTTATGGTTTTTGCTGTAAAATTCGTGCGGTCCCACATACAAGTTAAGAGGTATTTGAATGGAAAGGGCGCCCTCTGGTTGACTTGATTTGATTTGAACGCTCTAAAACCACTTATCTATCTATATATCCTCTAGATGCCTAATCTCCGTTCGTCCTATCAGCTGCTGCCACTCTGGCTTCCGTCCATGACTTCCACCCAACTTTGTTTTTTTCTATCTCAACAATGCGTCGTCAAGTTGTTTTGGGTCTATCCGTTTCCTTCTGGGCCGTATGTCAATGCGGTGTTCCATATTTTATTGAGCTGCCTGAATGCATTTCCCTTTATAATACAGTTTTCCATGTCTCCCATTCCCCTCCTGATAAGGTTGCACTAAGGTATGCAAATTCGTTGACATCTTCAAAAAAAACCTGTTTCGCTATTTTGTACAGTCTCTCATTATCCAATCGAGCACTATGAGAAACAAAAAACACCGACATATTGCATCCTTGTTTTATGTTAAATCTTTCCGATGTTTTCCCTCGGTGTATCACTGCACTTTTGAAGTCATCATAAAAAGCTTTCACAAGACATGTTAACTTTTTTGGTATACCATACATTCTCATTATTCTCCACAGGTTGTCTCGGTGCACAGAATCGAATGCTTTTTCAAAGTCAATAAAATTAACGTTTAGTGTTGCTTACCATTAAATAATTAAATAATATTGCGTAATATTTGTTTTGCTGTGCCTCTTCCCGTCCGAACTCCAGCCTGTTCATTTCTGAGACTTGTATCATCTCCGTTCTTTACTCTGTTTATGATGATTCGGCTCAGGAGTTGGCTTACGATTGGTAATAGTGTTATTCCTCTCGAATTCTTACACTGTTTGAGATTTCCTTTCCCAGATAGTTTTATTATCAAACCATGTTTCCATTTCATAGGTATTCTTTCCCTATCTTTTCAATAAGCTGTTAAACTTTGTCTGTTGCAAAGTTAATATCTGCTTCAAAGAGTTCTGCTATAATTCAAACAACTCCAGGTGCCATCTCAATAACTGTTCAATTGCATTCCTTATTTCAACTCTACTTGGTTCTCTGATATCAATTTCTTCAATTTCTATATGCTCATAATTTCCATCATCATCATTGATAGATGGTCGGGATCTTTTCTGTTTAAAACGTCCTTCAAGTTGAAGTGGTCATTCCATCTTTCGTTTCTTCTTTTCTACTTATCAAGTTACTATTCTCGTCCTTCACTACACTTATTTACAGTTGTTTAATCCCTTCGTCGTCTGCAGCCTCAGCAGCCAACTTTAACTAAACCACAGTCCCTCCACACCGTTGAGGGACTGTGACTAAACTTAGGGCGAGTATGGAGAAGGTAACAGAGGATGTTTGAATAGAAAATACTGAACCATGCTTTCTAACGGAAATTACACCACAGAACAAATACTTGAAGATCTCTAGGGTAGGGGAAATTGATACTCCAAGTACGTAGTTTACTTACTACTAAAGTGGATGTTACTTTGTACAAGCAAATAGATAAGAATGAGACAATACATTCTTCAGGCCTAAACAATGTATGTGAAAGAAAGCCAATGACACTGAGTGTTATTTCATGCACTAAATATATTTTGAACAAAAACAAGCATCTTGGGGTAGAGGGTTGTAACCCCTTAAAAGCACCAATCTCTGTAATTGTGCGCCATCGCAAATATGTCACAATTGACTGGTTTTAAATGGAACAGTGTCAATAGCAAAATAGTACTGTAACATTATTTACGCTGTCGTGTACCCGATTAGGGTGTCTCTCCGTCTAGGTCTCTATCAGGGGGAAAATCTCTCCGTCTAGGTCTCTATCAGGGGGAAAATCTCTCCGTCTAGGTCTCTATCAGGGGGAAATCTCTCCGTCTAGGTCTCTATCAGGGGGAAAATCTCTCCGTCTAGGTCTCTATCAGGGGGAAAATCTCTCCGTCTAGGTCTCTATCAGGGGGAAAATCTCTCCGTCTAGGTCTCTATCAGGGGGAAATCTCTTCGTCTAGGTCTCTATCAGGGGGAAAATCTCTCCGTCTAGGTCTCTATCAGGGGGAAAATCTCTCCTTCTAGGTCTCTATCAGGGAGGAAATCTTTCCGTCTAGGTCTCTATCAGGGGGAAAATCTCTCCGTCTAGGTCTCTATCAGGGGGGAAATCTTTCCGTCTAGGTCTCTATCAGGGGGAAAATCTCTCCGTCTAGGTCTCTATCAGAGGGAAAATCTCTCCGTCTAGGTCTCTATCAGGGGGAAAATCTCTCCGTCTAAGTCTCTATTAGGGGGAAAATCTCTCCGTCTAAGTCTCTATTAGGGGGAAAATCTCTCCGTCTAGGTCTCTATCAGGGGGAAAATCTCTCCGTCTAGGTCTCTATTAGGGGGAAAATCTCTCCGTCTAAGTCTCTATTAGGGGGAAAATCTCTCCGTCTAGGTCTCTATCAGGGGGAAAATCTCTCCGTCTAGGACTCTATCAGGGGGAAAATCTCTCCGTCTAGGTCTCACTCATTATGTCAACGTTAAGTCCAAATTTAACCGCTAGTTGGCATAACGTACAAACACTTTGCCCAATTTCCATTTGAGTGAAGGAAACAGTAATTGCGCTAGCAATCATTATTCAAATGCAACTGTCGTAATTATGCACAATTAGACAGTGGCCACGACAGTGAATAAATCAAAAAGTCACTATGGTGGTCATGACAGAATTTCATGTGTCCCAGGTTGGCATATTTAGATATTAATTTCAGCCGAATTTTCTGATCGGTAAGTAAAATTGCACTGTACTGAGAATAAAACTGTTTTCGTCGTGACTGTGACGTCGGCAATCCAACAAAACACTCAGTTATATTTTATTCCCAGCACTATTACTGTACATTGTCACTTGCAAAATCCCAATTTTCGGCGTGGATATTGGCCAGATCACCAGTCTTGAAAGATTGGAGTTTCAATAATTATCACTAAGGTTAATTTGCAACTTATTTTGTTCCATTTTATGGCACGTATTCGAAACACAGACGAATGAAGAGTGCATATGCAAGTAAAATAAAGTTTCTGAAAGTAAAAAAACAATGAATGGTATGAAATAAAGAGGTCATATTAATGTGTTCCGTTATGGACAGCACAACCCTGAATTGCCTCTGAACCGAGTGCCACTATCTCGACTTTCTTATTGTTTTTTGCTTGCACTTTATTATTTTTGGGGGCTAATAAATTGGAATTCAGAGCCATTTCATTGACTAGAAATAAAAACAAGTTTTGCTCTTTGCTATCGGTCGGCGCACTCTAGCCTCATTTATTTACATTTTTGCTAGCATTTATTCGAATTTCTGACAAAATGATTAGTGCACAAGACAATACTATATTACAATCTACTGCGATAAGGTTGCCCACACATGTATATTTAATAATGATAGTAATTTCAATAGCAGTTGATATTTTGTATGATGTAATGGGCAAATGTTCACAACTCAAATATTAAATTATCTACAGCTATATTAAATAGCTAGTCGCGTTTGGAATACAGTGTACTTAATCAATCCGCGACAAGATATAACCACTGTGTTGATTCTTTGGTTTGATATCATAAACGTACCATAAAGCGGGAGGGTCGTCACCTACGCATGCGTCAGATGGCCATGGCGTGTCATTGTTTACAAACAAACGTCTACCCATGA